CATTGGAACAGGCTGCCCAGGGAAGTGGTTGAGTCTCCATCCCTGGAGGTATTTAAAAGACGGGTAGACGTGGTGCTTGAGGAGGTGGTTTAGTGGTGGAGTTGGCAGTGATAGGTTAACAGTTGGACTCGATAATCTTAAAGGTCTTTTCCAACCTTAACGATCCTATGATCCTCTGATATAACTCCTTGTGTCATCTTATGACAAAATTGATAGACCATGTGTCAAATGTATATGAAAATACTTGTCTTCAAACAAACTGCCTATTCTCTTGATTTTACTGTGAGCAAAGACAATGAAATATCCTTTCTCATGCTAAGCAGAACCATCTTACACACGTAGCCCCAGTGACAGCAATGCGAAGGGTAAGTATTTTTCTAAGAATATGTGTAACTGAACCAATCTGAATTAGAAAGTACAAGTCACTAGTCTCTGACTTGCTAGTATTTTAAACTAATCACCATGATACCCTGGCAAGCCAAAAGTTTATAGAGTTAGCTTTATGCAAAAAGGTATTGTAGAAAGGAAACCAAACTTTACTCTGGAAACATGATATTCTGTTTGAAAGAGCTAAAAATGATACTCTTTTGTCTGAATTTGTACATGCTTATGACCTCTAACTCAGTTTTTATTGCATGTGTATTCTTCCCATTACTAACCACACCTCATTCTTCCTCAGTTTTAGTTTTCTTATAATTCTGTCACAGACCATGTGAAAGAACAAATTATTTAACCACTCATATCAGAGATTATTAATACAATGTTCTGTGATATGCGTGGCTTGCTTAGCAAGATATACAAGGAATATAACCTTAACTGGTTTAAAATGTTAATCCTGAATCTATATTTATACTTCATACATACTAACTTTAAATTTTCTTATTTAAATTTTAAAATGCAGTATGCAGCTGCTGATTTCCCTATCCAGAAGTGCCAATTGCTTTAGATTATCCAGTGTGAAGTTTACAGATTGAGGATCCACAAACTTTAAAAGCAGACTGATGACGTATTTCTCTTGGGAAAAAAAATAAAAAATAAAAAAAATAGGCTAGTAGAACATGACCTACAATGTACAGATGAGAACAAGTTGCATGTTTACTTACGTTCACATGTGTCTCCTTTTTGCTGGTATCCTGCTTTGCAGATACATTTTCCAATAGGCACTAACCATTCTCCCTCTGCGCTGCAGTGCATCTTCGGCGAGTTCTCCGCCTCCTCCTCCGCACTGCTGACACAAGTTCCTCGTACTTCAACTAAAGAGGAAAACTCTGAGCCAGTCACTGTGTCAGGAAAAATAGCTAAGTTTTCAATGATGGACCAGCACTTCTTGTAGTAGACTTTGACAGAGACCAAAGCAATACAGGCCCCTACATCCTGAAACGCAAGATAGAATCCTTTTTTGGACAAAGGTCCAATTTCTCTCACCTCTGTGTTAAGTTTCATTTTTCTCTCCCCAAGATCGCCCTGGGTAAAACTTTCATCTGCTGCAATAGTGTCTATTTTTACATATTGGTTTTCTCGGATATTCCTGCCAGTGTCGTAGTCTGTTTCATAATAATACAAGTTAAAAGTTTCTTTACAAGTCCCCAGAACTCCAGGAAGACTGTTACAATCCCTCAGAGTGAATTTCAGTTCTACAAAAATCCTTTGTGCATTGCTTTTTGCAATCCAGTTAGTCCGAAGCCAGTTGTTTTGGTTTGATTCCATCACCTGGCATACCTGGTATGTTCGTATAGGCGTGTAGTTTTCATCCAGTCCACTAATTTCTTCCCACTAAAACAATAACAAAGAGTTAGTAATACAAAACAAGTACGCCACCAGATGTAACTATTGTGTTTTTTAAAAGGCTTCACACAACTCAAGTCTCCTCCTTTTTTACAGTATGGCTTCATAAAAAGTAGGTTATTGTTAAAATACTCTTAAGCACTCAAATGAAGAAAATACATATTAACACAGCTGCAGGCTTGCTCTCCCTCCACATCTTTCCCACATATAACTAACTTCTAAAAATCATTGTCATATCATGGGCACAGTTGTAAAGGGGAAGTTTCAGAGAAGGCTGTTCAACATACCAAGTACTGATTACACACTGGGCTCTCCCACATTTCATTAAGGTCATGACAGTTTTGGGTAAGCAAAGACCAAAAGGAGGGAGGCAGCTTTGCTTCCAGAGAAACCTAGTCTTAGAAACAGAAATTGCCTAGTGTACATAAAACTTGTGTACATAAAACTTCCAGTTAAACTTTCAGTTGTACAGAAAGCATGGGAAACTTGCGAGTCCTGTGGTTTTCACTCCTGTATGATGAGAGCGGCATAGAGAGAGAGGGCAAAAGAAAACGGACAGAATTAAAAATCTGAAAGCAAGAAAACATTTTGATTGTCCCCTTTTTGTTCAGTCCACCTTCTGTTCTGCTTACAAACCAAAGAAGGTAAACAAGAGCTCCTCACCTCACATGTTGTTCAGTGGCTGCATCCATGATAAAAGGAGCAAACTTCACTTAGTTGGGAGTTCAAATGAACCGTGAGATTACTACATAATTAAGAACAACCCACATGACTGAAAGTTCACTGGTTCAAAGCCTGGTTTTTGTTGTTGTTCCCTCTTTAGGATAACAACTATGTAACAAACTGGTAAGCCTGTAACAGCCCAGCCCACAGTCTTTAATGCCTTTGGTGGCATGGGAATTTGCAGCTCCGGCAATGGCAAACCTTCCACTGAAATCAACCAGGCAGATCTGCTCAGGTGTAACCAAAACAATATCTGTCTCTCACCTTTTTTCACATTTCTTGTAATTTAATTCACTTCAGAAACCTCAGCTGTAATAAATTAGATAATTTTTTTGAGCTATCCTCACACAATGATACAAGCAACCATGACTTCTCCTTATGGCACTTAGCCCTCTGGCCCTGTGTCAATAATGCACTTAAGCTCACCCTTAAGATCAATGACAGTACTTATGAGCTTAATGGTAAGCATGTGCTTAAGTGCTTTGTGGGACTAGCATGCTCCGCACCTCTGCAGGATGGAGCACCCACTGACATTCCTTATACCGGTAAGCAAGTGTGGAAGGCATTGGTTTCCCAGACTAGGAGCCATGCAGTATACAGTACTTTGCAAGCCTATTTGACAGCAAATGAGATCATTTTGATTTTGGTCTACTGCTCCAAGAAAAAGCAGATGTGGCTGAATTGATGCTGGAAGTTATCATCAAAAAATATATCACAGCTGCAGATGCTGAAATGCGCAGAAGTTGCAAATATCAAAGCGCATTTCAAAGACCTACAGTTAATATAGACATGGTATGTATGGTATTATGTATGCATATAGTATTAAATTATTGAAATATATTATTAAATGTTCGTGGAGTTAACTAAACTGATTGCATATGGAACTGTATTAACCTCAGAACAGAAGAAAGTCTATCTTCATAATAGATTTATTAGATCTGAATGAGTAGATTCCACCTCCCCCCCCCAAAAAAAAAAGTATTAACAAGGAAAGGAAAAAAAGGGGCCCTGAACTAAGGCTTTTGGCTCTGCCACACTGAAAAACAACAACAACAAAAAAAGCAAAACAAACAAACAAAAAAAGAAAACACAAAAAAAGAACAAAAAAAACCACAAAGATGACAAAAAAGGCATGAAGCCTAAAATTTCACTGATTTTTATATTCTCCATTTCACATGAGGTAGTGTTGGATTTTCTTGTTTTGAGTTGGTTTGAGGTTTTTGTCTATTTTATTTTTTATCTTCCGTAAGCAGTCCTCCCTCAAAACACCAAGCCAGATTCTGAAATGAGATATTCCATTTAGACGACATATTGTATCTTTGAAGTGAAAGTAACATCTAATGCATCACACAACAGAATCTGACTCCTCGGGTTTTGATGTGGACTGCTCCACCAAAACAAATCCCCACCTTCCCCCCCCCAAAAAAAAGAAAAGAAAAAAAACCCAACAAACAGAAAGCAAAACAAAAAAAACAACAAACAAACCACATTTAACAAAGTCAAACCATTTTTCATAATACAACACAAATGAGCCTTCTTAGGGTCAAAAGTCCACTACATGAGGCTAGCTAGTATTAGAGAGATTCTTATGCTACAGTCAAGGAAAACAATACAAAACACTAAATTCAGATAAGTCCTACTTTACGTTATGCCTAGCATTAAATGCTGAAGTCTAGTTTTACGTGTTTTCCCAAAGCCATGGAATATGGTTCTCCTAAAAAATTAAGGAAATGTGACTTATGATTCAATTCTGTAATCACAGAGCTATTATTTCAAGTAGTCCGCTGGAGATGTACCTGCTTCTCTGCAGGGGAAAAAAATACATCAGTACTTCAGGATATGTTTTCACCTACGCCATCTGAGGTCACATTTCATTAATGTCGTTCTAAAGTGATCAGTTCCATGATAGCTTTTACAGCAAGAAAATTCAACTTTTCTTTGTCCTGCTGCAACATATGGTGATGCACACGCAATTCTGTTTGAATGCATCCTGTTCTATTGGTTTCAATATATGGTATTTTAACTTCTTAGTTATCTTAACAATGTTTGAGATCATTGTTAGACATAACATTTGCAGTTGAATGAGGCATTTAACAAGTGTCTGGCTGATATATTCCATACTGTGATGATGCAGGAGTCTCTGTCAAGAAGAAGATTTTCTGTGTTTATTCCCATGAAGTCTTTATTGCATAGTAGAAAATTCAGTAATTAAAACTAGAAAAACATTTATTTTCAAAATTACATTGTTAAAATGGTACTTTTATGTTAATATACAGGCAATTATTTCTGAACGTTCTCATGCATATGAATCCAGTCATTAGTTTTGATTCACTTTTAATTCCTGATTGAAATTGGCTTCTACCTCTAAAAGTCACCTTTTACTATTTGTTGAATTTGACTCTACTTTCATCTTTAAGTATGCTGACACGTGTAACATGTGTTGACATGTCTTTCATTATCTACAGGTTAGCCGAATATAATTGCCACCAACCTAATCTTTCAAACACCTCTGGTAAAGGCTTCAATCAGTGCAAAATGCTAATGCCGAGGTTATTAGCCATCATACGCATTGAGCTCGCATTACATTCCTTCTGAAGTCCTTAGATTCGTTTCCAGTTTATGCTTGTATTGATTTTACGATCTTGCTTTTAAAGAAAGACACTTTCAGATTTTCATTCTTCTTATTTAAAGGATTTGTTACACTTTTATATCCCCACTCACACTTCACGCTCTTCTGGCTCCAGATTTCTTAATGCGCTGAAGATTAAGGGCCTGATCCCCCAAGTCCTTGTTCATGCAAGGAGTCGCAATGGATTCAGCAAGACTGTTTCCATGACTGAGCACTGTCTATATAATTTATGATTTGTCAGACTGAGTTAAGGGAGGACTGAGCTAAGGTAGGACAATATACCCATTATATCTTTCTGAAAATGTTCTTCCTCAAGGCTTAGGGAAGAAGGGGTTTTATACCACTTCTAATTCAGACTGAAAGCAGCATTTCTCAACTTTACATATATAATAAATAAGACAATAACACTGATGTTTCTAAACTCCTCATTTTTTATAATGATGTACTTTACAATGGTACAGTTCATGGAATACCATGAGATTAATTCGTAAGCAAGCTGGAGGTGGCCTTAACCACATAATTCATGCCTAGTTCCAGATATAAAGCTCCTCAAGACTTGGGGATGTTTCAAGTTTGGAATGTCATTTCAAACACATCTGCAGTATAAATGTTTTTATTTTAGAGCACTTCAATCTGTGCTATTCAATTACAAAGAAAACATCGTAAACAAATTTATGATCACCCATTACACAGAAAATGAAAAACATATTTTTAGAAAGTTTCCACACAGAAGTAAATCTGCTGTTTTTAAAGGAAGAAGGAAAAAGTGCTTTAAAATACCGCGTTATAAATATACAGAGCTTTCTGGTACAGCACAAAGGATTACACTACATAACATAAAGCTACTGAGAACATTTAAGTGAGTTTCTAAAGGGACGCTTACTTTTAATCAGCTTGTACATTTGTACAGCGTAACCTGAGGTACACTTCTTTCCATTCTAAAAATGAAAAAGCTGTAAACACTTAGTATGATTACTGAGAGAAATATGAGGGGGAGCTAGTTTAAAGCAAGTCTCTCAATTGCTTTGGTAAAATAACTACTTATCTTTAGGAACTTAATTTTTGCCTGGAGTACTTACCCCATTGGGAGGAGAGGAAATCCATTCCAATTCTGTCTGTTGTGCTTTAGAGTCCAGCAATATTACTAAAAAAGAAAAAAAAGAATTTCCACTGTTTGTTAAATATAATAAGTGGGAATATAATACCAAAGAACAAAATCTGAATAATGAAAGTGATAAAAAGAATACAATTTTTTTACAAATTAATATTTTTTCATATTATTAAAAAAATTATCTGCAACCACAACTATGCATTTACGTGTAAACAGATGATTAAATTATTATGTACCATCCACATATAAGCAAATATTCATTAATCTTAACAATTTCATTGCTTAAATTAAAGTGTATTGTTTTTCTTAGTGCTCTAAAGTGTTACTAATCAGTCATTAAGATGCATGCTCCCTTCATCTCCTTTGTCATAAGAAGGACATTTCCCATATGCTGGTTATTACAATGAGCTTAAAACAAATACACACCAACATTTCAACACTTTTCCAGACTGATTTAAACAGGACTAGCCTATACCTTACCAGGAGTTGCACTGCAAAAGCAAAGGTCTTTTTGAATTTGAAAGAAAAAAAATATGTCCCTTAGGTGATAAAGCAGTAATTCTATTAACAAATGACAACCAGAAATACAGAAAATAAAAGACTCTGCAATTACCTCACACTTCGCATACACAAAATACCACACACACAAAATCAGACTAATTCACTTTATGGTAATGGCTTACTAAAATCTTCACGTCCTTATACCCCAGTGACACTTCCATACAAAAAGACATCCGTTCTAGTAGTATCGCAATTATTTTCAACTAATTGTAACCCCGTCTCTGACAGTGGTTAATCACAGCCTAATAAACCAACTCTTATATATTTTACAGTACATATTGGAGGTTATATTACTAATATCCTGTTACCTCCAAACATACATTTCTATATACATCTTATATTACAGCTATAAGCTTCTTTCTTAGCATACTATTGTAAGTTTCTGTAAGACTTTCCAACGGTACATATGGCTAATCTGTGATGTCTGAAAAAAAAAAAAAAGTGAAATAATTTGCTGTAATACCTTCTTTCAAATAGCCAAAGCTGTAAAGTGATCAACCATATATCTAGGTTTGGCACACTTTGAAGATTCCTTCTTCAAAGCTGCACATTTAACTTCATGCTTCTATTTGATTAAATAAAATGTAACATTTCTAATTTAAATCTATTCAGTATATTTTTAGCTATACAGCTATTTATAACTTTATACACACCATTTAAGTACTGATATTTCAATGCATGATTTAAGGCTGTAACTTGAAGCAACTTTTGTCAGGTCTCTTGAAATGGTTATAATTCTGGGTTCGTCCCTTTCTCCTAGTAGAATTTAACACAAAATTTCAGTGAATTACTGGAAAGATGAGATGACTAAAAAAGTTATTTAAAGGTTCATACAGTAATATCTGGAATGTTAGCTGAACACAAAACGGTAGCTTCCAGGCCTGTATTTCAGTAATAAAGTGGAGCTACTCATTAAAGAAGTTTGATAGTCTCTCCCCGGAAAGATTTTCTGCTTATTTCATTAAGCTTGGATTGAAGGGGCTTTACTTTGTAACACTTTCTATAGACAAGAAGGTGGTGTATGTGGTGGTTTGTTAAACAAGAGCATTTATAATAGTCCTGGAAAAAAAGGTACCAGGAAAAAATTAACCATTTCAGCACCAGCACAACGTCCCATGGCTGTAATTCATTATACTTTTTATTTGGCAGCAATTCTCCAGCACATAGCAACGGCCGGGCACATCCCAGAAAGAAAAGCCAACAAGCAAACAAACAAACATAAAACCCTGCTCTGCAAACACCCCTTGCAAAGAAAACGTGGCGTTTCCGTGTGGGACCCGAAGTTACTGAGGAAGAGCTTTCCAGGCCAGCGGCTGGTGCGCTGCTCCCAGCCCCGGGAGCCCTGCGGCCGTCAGGGCTCGTTGCGCAGCGCTGGGAAGCGATGCGGAAGGACGGCGCCGTGCTCCGCCCGGGGATACGCAGCCTCCCGCACACAGAGCACACCGAGGCCCCGGGCGCGGTCCCTCCGCGGCGGCGCAGCGGCACGCGCTCCGCGCAGGGGGGGAGGCGCCGCTCGGGGCCCCGCTCGG